AAACCACAACCTTGGATTGGCGTCTTTACTTTTAGTGCGAAGACGGGCTGCACTGACCGAGGATGCATCGCTGAATGCCCAAAAGTCCGCTACTTCATCTACGAAACAATGTCTACGAAGGTGAATCATACGGAACACGACGCCAATCATAACGGACTGGACCACAGTATAACTGTCCTCTTTACGCATATACGTCGTGCTTAACTGTGTGTAAACTGTTACACATGTCCATCAATTCAATAATTTATCATGTAAACGCCAATCGTGTGCATGCCAGCCAGTATAACGGTAACTGTTTTCCCCCGCGAGACAAAAACTACGCCACATCACTACAGGCTTGCCCAATGCCGGACAACTAGAGGAAGCGGGCCCCCCGAGGAGAAGACAATCCGATGCACCCTGTGCCCGTCGCTTTCAATGCTTCTCCTGCTGCTATCCAGCATAACAACGCCCAACCATCTCCTCAATTTGACCTGTGCGACGTGAGCTGACCATACAGCGTCATGACGTGAGCTAACCATACAATACCATGGCGTGAGCTGACCATACGTACCATAACGTGAACTGGTCATACAGTACCATGACGTTAATTGACCATACAGAACCATGACGTGAACTGACCATACAGTACCATGACGTGAACTGACCGTACAGTACCATGACGTCAACTGACCAGCAGTACCATGACGTTAATTGACCGTACAGTACCATGACGTGAACTGACCATACAGTACCATGACGTGAACTGACCGTACAGTACCATGACGTTAACTGACCATACAGTACCATGACGTGAACTGACCATACAGAACCATGACCTGAGCTGGACATACAGAACCATGACCTGAGCTGGCCATACCGTACCATGACGTGAACTGATCATGCAGTACCATGACGTGAACTGACCATACAGTGCCATGACGTGAACTGACAATACAGTACCATGACGTGAACTGACCATACAGAACCATGACCTGAGCTGGCCATACAGAACCATGACGTGAGCTGACCATACAGTACCATGACGCGAGCTGACCACACAGAACCATGACATGAGCTGACCACACAGTACCATGACATGAACTGACCCAGTGTGTCATATTTACCCCTTGGGTGACAGCGATGCCAATATGTTTTCATGATACTACACCGCGGCTTGAGGCTCACTGTCTGTTGCCTATTCCCTTGCTCAAAATCAGCCAATCGCATCGAACAATGCGACAGTCAATCCAGCATCGAAGCGCCTCAGGCTTTACAAATGGCCCGGACAGGTCAGATGTCTGGGTTTGGGGTCAAAGGACATCTGCTGAGCGCCAACGAATGGCGAGTGAGGACCGCCGGAGAGCCGGGATTCGGGTAGAATGCAACTTTATTTTATATCCTTGCACACCCTACTAAAAAAAAATTTGGAATGCTCAGCATACCATAACATACCATGACATGAGCTGAGCATAGTGTGCCATGACATGAATTGTCGACGCAGGATAATGACGTGAGCTGCCGCTACAGTATCACGACGTGGGGTGCCCATACTGTGCCATGACGCGAGCTGACCATACAGCACTGACCACGTCATCCAGTGGTCCCCTCCCCCTTCCGCCCAGATCACAGCACGCACCTGCTGGCTGAGCTTGGCCACAGAGTGCTCCACCACGTTGATGCTCTTGTTGCGAGCCTCGATGGCGGCGCGCTGCGAGAGAGCAGGCTGCCCAGGCACGAGCTGGGCCAGGTATCACCCGACGGAGCGCCGCCGTCTGCAGAGGACGAGATCAGCAGGTCGATCACAACAACTGGGCCAGTGTGTCACCCGACGACGCGCCGCCGTCTGCAGAGGGACGAGGTCAGCAGGTCGCTCACACACAGACTGGGCCAGGTGTCCCGACGCGCCGCCGTCTGCGGAGGGACGAGGTCAGCAGGTCGCTCACACACAGACTGGGCCAGGTGTCACCCGACGACGCGCCGCCGTCTGCAGACGAGGTCAGCAGGTCGCTCACACACAGACTGGGCCAGGTGTCACCCGACGGCGCCGTCCGCACGTCGAGGTCAGCAGGTCGCTCACACACAGACTGGGTCAGGTGTCACCCGACGGCGCGCCGCCATCTGCTTAGGGTCGAGGTCAGCAGGTCACACAGACACGAGCCGGGCCGGGCCCGACGGCGCGCCGCACCCCGCCGCCGCCGTCCGCAGAGGGTCGAGGTCAGCAGGTCACATAGACACGAGCCGGGCCGGGCCCGACGGCGCGCCGCCACCCGCCGCCGCCGTCCGCAGAGCGTCGAGGTCAGCAGGTCGCACAAACACTATTATGAGCGGTAAGAAAAAGTCCGGAGCAGGTAGCGGAATACAGGAATTGAAGCAACGACAGCGTGGGCCGGGATTACTGCAAGGCAAACGTGGCGCGACATTCACAACATACAAAAACGACGCCGACGTGAGTGTCCAGTCCGCAGCTGCCAGGGCCATGCTGCACGATCCCGCTCGGATTTCTTGCTTTAAGAAGTTATGCGTGGTCTGCGCGGCTGCCCAGCCAGGCCTCGCTCGGTGCTCTGCAAGCCCAGACGGCAGGGCAGCGACCGGCCCGGCAGGCCTGACTGCGACGTACCGGCGCTGCTGGCACCGCCGGAGAACCGCGAGCAGACAGCGAGCAGCGAGAGCGGCCGCGCCGGGCCTCGTTCCGCTTCAGGCCGGGCACGATGTGTTCCTCGAAGTGCTCCATGGCCATGGAGGAGATGTCGCGCAGCTCCTGCAGCACGGTGAAGGACGAGCGCTCCACCGAGGGCGCCTCCTTCAGGTAGCGCACCACCCGGAACACTTCGTCCAGCACCTGCCGGCGGAGAGAGGCGGGGAGGGGGTGAGACGCCAGCTCCGAAACTCCGCAACGCAGGGCTTTGCGCAGGGCGGAAGACGCAGGGCATGGGAGTCTGGGACCTCAGGACGGTCCCACACTCCGGACCATTCCTGGCCAGTAAGGGTGAGCACAGACGGGCGGCCGGCACCGGCACCAAACAACGGGCATCGCTCCAGCACGGGCTGACTAGACATCGTTCTTCATCGGTCCCGAATATTTTGCCCACGTCCACTGCTCTCGCCTTTAAGGCCCATCATTTTTTTCATATATATTTGATCGTTCTGTCGCCGTAGATGTATGGCCTTAGTGAAACAATTCAAAACGCATCTTTGTGTCCCAACTTTTTTAGTTCCACTGTCTAGGGTTGTGTTACCCATCATCATTCACCAGCCCCTGCAGGTGCCCTCAAAAGGCTAACAGAATTCACTTCCGCGCACTCCGACCAGTCGTTGATCTGCTAAGCAGCAGGCATAACGCTACATCTCAGGCCGCGCAAGCATCCCCCTCCGTAGATCTCCCCCGCGTCAGCTGCCCCAGCGACCGACCGGTCGGCCCCGGCGGCGTCGGCCAACCCACCTTGCCCGGAATGAAGCAGCACGCGTCCATCTCCATGTAGCGGCGGTAGGTCATGCTGAGCAAGCCGAGGCGCGTCTCGACGGCGGCCAGGTGCTCCACGCGCCGCGAGAGCGGGTGCTCGCGCCGCTCCGACTCGCGGCGCGGCAGCTGGGCGCGGAACAGCTTCAGCGCCTGTTGCACATACCGCTCGGCGCGCGAGAAGCCCTGGTTCAGCCGGTGCCGGATGGCGCGCTCGAACGTGCGGCACACCTGGCGGCGGGCAGGAGCTGGTTCACGGACAGCACACCGGCGACTCTCGGCACGCGTTGGGGACGACACGGCTGCCGTGCGAGCACCAACGGCAGCCCACACACCAGCGCACCACGTTAACCACTCCACAGGCACCACCCGGGGTCAAGCATCCATGACAAGCCTCCGTCCGGTCCATCAAACACGGCAGGAACTCAAACCGCACGCCACACGCGACGGCGGCTGATGAGTCGTTTCAGGTTCAGACCCAAGCGTGTTCTATTGCGTTTTATTGCCATCCATGTTCGCAACGCCTACGCTTCTGCTTCGTATTATTTATGTGGCACGGTGGGCTCCTTCAACAATTCACAAGGAAGCAGCTGTACAGACGATTATTAGGCTAAGCTAGCGATTAGTTTACACCACGACGTACCAGCCGGATGTTGGAGGCGGTCTCATATGACAGATAGCTGATGATGCCTCCAGGAGTTCAGGAGGCAACATCAGAATGTTGGCAGGCTCTCTGCCCAGATCGGCTGTGACGAGATCCATGATGGCTGCTGTAAACGCACATTACGTGTTAGGCAATACAGATCCATGTGTAAATGATGGAAAAGCTTTAGCCTTATCATTTGTGAAAAACGAGATCATAGTCATAGGCAAATGGCTATCCTCTAATCCCATTGTGTGGACTGGCAGGCTGATCAGAAAAGTCCACCTACAGCAATGATGACTGCTTGAATGTACATCAGATAAGTGTGTACAACACCTGTGTGCATCAGCACGAGTGCATTGGCTCGAACTTCGACAGATGTTTCGCCGGACGCACTTTTCAAGGGTGGTGGTGTCCACACCTCCACAAAAATAGTGGGGTGAGTTATATGTGCACGTCATACCGCATCTCCAAGAGATCGCTGCTGACTATGAGTGTTACCATCTCCAGCGGTATTTATCAATATCTCTCTGTCTACGTCAGTTGCTGTAACTTATTAACACAGATTCTACGCCAACGATTGTAGGATCAGGTATGCACACTGTGCGGCCTTTGGTTCTAAATGCCTCAGGTAAAATGGGCGCGATCCGTGCAATCCTTTAGGCACATGTATCCAGGACTGTTTTGATGTTTGATTTGTAGAAGTCTGCAAAACGTAATTTCACATCGAGTGCACCTATGGATCCTCCCTGCCCCAGGTACAGAGGGGGGAGGGGGGCGCACCACACTGGGTGCCAGCTGTGAAACTGATCAGTGCGACAGCAGGGTGTAAACAGTGTTGCTCCCCGCCACCCCCGCGACCGGAGGACACTAGAAACATAGTGAGCGCCACATAGTACAAACAAAGCATGTCTGCGACCCACGCCACATCAGATCTGAGAGTAGCTTTCATTACAGGCTGCAGCATAGCCAACATGAACACACAACTGTTGATGAGAGCATGCCTATTTCCCAATCCACTGTCAGATTATGTAGATGTCTACCATACTCCAACAGCCAGTTCGAGCCATTCCTGGTGCACAACTAGCAGAAAATGTAGCCAGCAACATGGGATCCCAATGGGGTTTAGGTTTCCGGGACATAGTCAGTTGGACCTGTTTTATCAGCAGCTTAAAGTTCTTCTGGGGGTAAACAGTGGCACCTCTATGTTTGAAGTAGGGCCAATAATAACATGACCTAGTGCACACTCTGTGCTGTGCAAATCAGCTAGCCTTTCACTACAAACAACTGACAGTACTTTTTTCTTGTTGCCTCCCTTCCTAACTGACATAATGACACTAACAGGTAAACATTTCAGATGAACCAATGCCAAGCCACATGTTTCTCTCACTGTAGTCTTTGTTGTGATGATTAACAAGATGCCAGGTTAAACAAGCAAGATGCCTCTTGTGACATGGGACCAGTAATACCATGATCAACACAGCCTAGTATAAAATATGGCAGCAACGGCGCACATTTCACGACTAGCCATAGTGCTCCCATGTAAAATGCTCTTCTCCAGGCCCACAGCTTTCATAATCTTAAACATATATATGCATACAAAGTGCATAGAAGTGAAGCTTGTACAATTCTCTTTTGATTTCCGGGATCAAAAGTGTGCGCCATAGCATTCATTTTCGAACCATCATGTAAGGCGTAGACCCATGTACGCGCCGCGATGTCCTGGCCTAAGATCGAATCCCACTGTCGCCAACTCTTTTCAGCAGAGTTGAGATGGAACATGGAGTGAATATGGTGGCTGACTGGCGATAAAACTATTGAGTGCAATAATATTCTGATTAGCTATATATATATATATATATATATATATATATATATATATATATATATATATATATATAATATATATATATATTATACATATATATATATATATTATAACATAACACATTAATGTATATAAAATATGCATATCCATGCATATTGTCTAGCCTGAAGATGCAGTTTGCTGTGTTGTGAAACATGCTGCAAGTTACTACAAAAAATACATATGAGATTTTTTTACATCTATAAAATATACCCAACAGATGTTATGAAGCCTTTGGGCTTCATGCAACAGCTATGGCTGAGGTGCATAGCATAACTGTGCCTGATGTATGGAACCTATGGCGGATGGTAGCGATCCAAAGCTGGGTGTCCTCAATCGGCCAGTGGTAGGACCAGGCACTGTGTTAGGTGCTTAAGTTGCGATGCTGGCGGCCACTGCTGTGTAGGGCGGCAATGCTGCCTCAAGACCAGCACAGCAATGATGACACAGTAACATTGCCAGCACCTCTGATGGGAAGCAGTTGTGCTTAAAAGCAGATGGTAAACATTATAGTGATAAGTGCCATGATGGTGAGCTATACTGCACAGTGGTGCTGATGACAAAATTTATAAAACTACTTTGATTGATCCTGAAGAGCTTAAACACCTGATGGACCTATGGCCTAAGTGACCATGCTCCCAAAACCATTTGCAGAAGGGTTTTTTGGCATAAAGAGAATAAAACATTTCATCACTGGCTACACTAAGTAACTAAACCTGAAAAGCTAGCTTTCACATTACAAAACCTGCAAAATAAATATGTGAAACTTAAATATGACAAATTTTTATATTTGTCATCCAGGTAATTTATAACTAGCTTCCATCCATTAATCCCCAGGTAGGAAAGGTACACCAAAGCATCTAGAGTGGAATGGGCAGCTTAGACAGATTTAGAAGATGCATCAGTATCTGACACATATGCTGCATTTGCTTAAGGAAAACAACCTGGACCTTAGATTGCCCCAAACCATGCCCCAGTTATACACATTCTTACACAAATGTTGCATGCTATGTTGATATCATATTTCTGTATCACCCTTGCACTCAACATTTGCTCATATTGTTGCAAGGAAATTGTTTTGTATAATTTTTGCAATGATGTTCTGTAACATATACAATGCTGAGGATTGGGTTACAGCTAGCTTTCAGAATATTGCAATATTTGACATAAAACATCAGTTTCTTATAAATGTCACAAGTATGAAATCCTCCCTTGCATAAGCAGTCATTCTATGATGTCAAAATGAATTTGATAGCCCCGCATCTTACATGATAATTATTTCAGAATAAATCATAAAGATGATTTATGTTGCTGACAAACTGTACATTTCATGTACAACACAAGCCATTGCATCCATTAAATATATAAGTATGACATTTGCTTCTTACTTTGAATACACTTACCAAGCACAGGTTACTGTTAAATGTCAGGTTTATGCTACATGCAGTCTCATGGAGATGTTGCATTTTGTGATGGTGGCCTCCAACAATGTTGAAATGCACTGGCAAATGTTTGGCTTGCCCTTCACATACTGTTGCCAGAATATTTACAACAAAAACAAAGGTAAAAGTCACACCATGATCATCTGCTTTGGGCATCATTTGATGAGACTGGCTGGACTTTTGAATGAAAGACACTAAACTACAACATGAAAATAGCATTTAATCAAAATGAGGTGTCCAGACACTATGAAAAACACACGTTAGGTGGAGGTGATGTGGAGTTGCTCTCAGCACAGCCCAACAATAAGCCACACACATTGATTCTTCTGATCTGGAAAAAACATAACTTACAATTCACATAAGCTGAATTATGCCAGAAAACCTAGCCAATTTTTGATGTCAGATGACCTATTCTAAAAAGTTGCAGGCTGGTCACTCCTTTCCTTAATTTCATATCAGGTATGTGCACAACACTGCATCATACCAAATTTCCATTACATTAAAGTGCCTTTCATTTCTCACTACACACATCTAATGCAATCACACAGCTGTGCTGAACTGACATAATCACTGGTAAGCCCATTCCATGGGTGGTAATGCCTCTGTAGACATAAGCTATCATTGCATATGTTGAATATTCAAATGCCAATCTGATGGCAATCTCAATATTCATATACTAAAATATACCAAGATCCTTAGCTCCATCATAAATATACCTGAGCAGACCTTGGTCAATCACTTCACCTGCAGCCTCCAGAAGCATTCAATGGCTGGTAGCCTAGGCCACAGTATTCATAACTAGCAAGTTGTGCAGTAACTGAATCCTTACATGATCAGTTTTGATGCAGAATATTTAAATGGGTCATTATATGTAAGCTAAGACACAATGTGACTTAGCAAAGAGCAACATACATCTGATTAGCCCAGACACATCTGAAATTACTTGAACACAATCTAATCCACCAACCACCATCCCCACTACCCGCTACCACACTTTGTACACTTAAGGGGCCTTGGCCCCCAATGTTGACTTGGGCCCTCTTAATATCTCAAATATGAACATAAAAGGGAATATTGGGCCAATGAGCCATTGTGATTATGAAATGAAGAAGTGTCAAAACTGCTGGCATGCTAGGTACCAAAATGCATCACCACCAATATAACTTTCATGTATCACTATCATCATTATCATATCAGCCTCAAATAGAAGTGATTCTCCAACATTAAAACAACCTTGGAACCAACTACACTCTTTGTAGTTGGAGCCAACTAGTCTCCTTGAAGATTTGCTTTTATGGCCCAATCTTGCAGTAGTTGGGATCTGAAATGCTTTACTATGGCCAGCTTCAGAGAAGGTATTATTAGCTTATTCCCATAATATTCTTATTGCAACACCTCTTAGTTGGAAGGAGTTAACAATGTATGATTGGTAGACAACACATTTGCCAGCACATTTCAGTTCTTGTCTGACCTGCCTGCCCTGTTGCCAAGATATATATATATATAATAAATATAATTGTTCATGAATATATAAATATAAAAAATCATGAAAAGCATTTCAAGAAATGCAGATTCGTATATTGTGCCTGACTTTACCTGAGTGACCACATGCACTGACTCACAGTTTTGACAGCACTATTCCCCCTCATCGCAAGTTACTGATCCCACACAACTGTGATGCAGGGCTGTCCAAGTCAAGACCCCTTTTTAATATGGTGTCTGAAACTGGTTCAGCATCTTGGCAAGGGAGAATAGAAGCACTAATAAAATATGGAAATGAGACAAGGCCTTTGCAATCAACCCAAGGCCTCTTGTAACGACAGTATGGCAGGCGTGGGGGCCCACAACATAAACGGTCTTAATTAACTAATTATAGCACGAAAACTGTAGATACCAATACCAGTAGAAGCACCAAACATTTATAAACACCTCCAGCACCTTAATTCAACTCTATATGCCATTCATTGGCGATAAATGCTGTTACTCTCATCCACCACCCACCGACCACCACCTACACTGCTCACAACACGCCAGTAAATCGCGATGCAGCAGTCAGCTGCTCATGCAAAGATAGTTCCCAGCTGATTGTACGATGACGTCACAAAACCAAAAAAAAAACAACCGCCAATCTGTGATAGTGTCGTACGACACCGCACAGGACAAAACCAGACAGGATCGGGCGGAGCTGGACAGAACCGACCGGAACCGAACGGGATCGAACAGGATCGGATCGAACCGGATGAAGGTGCACTGAAACCAGACGGGTTCGGGTGAAAACGCGGACGTGACCGATAGAAACAGGACAGGACAAAACGGCAGCAGATAAGACCGCACGGTGCGGACGGATCGTGATAACGTCAGATGAGACCGGGCAAGATCAGAAGAGACCGGTCCAGGCCGGACGAGGCGTCACGGGAGTGGGACTGGACGGTGCCGCGCGGGACCTGGCGTGATGAACGGGGCCGGACAGAGCCGGATGGGACTGGGCGCCACTAGAAGCGGCCGGACAGGACTGTACGAAACTGAATGGGACCACACCAAAACCAGACACAACCGGGTGGGACCAGATTGAACTGGATGGAATCAGACAAGGTTAGATGGAACCATACGGGACCGGACAGGACCAGACGGGTCTGGTCTCGTTCCGGCCGCGCTCCGTTCTAATCCTGTCCGGTCCCACTCATTTTGCTCACGCCCCTTGCTGTCCGAGCCAATCCCGTCATGCCACTAGGTCCCGTGTCGCCATGTCTGGCTCCGTCCGGTCCTGTCCTGTCCAATCCGATCCCATGAGGGGTCAAATTACATCCGAAACCGTCTAGTTTCATTTAGTTTCATCTGGTTCCAAACGTTGGATCACATTCCAGTCTGTTCTACCTGGTCCCGTTATGTAGCGTCCGACTTTATTACGGAATGTTCCATATCTGAAGAAATTAAAGCGATCATCAGATATGACATAAGCTCACTTATATCTAAGCATTGGTATACTTTTAAGTGGGAAAGACTGTCACAAACAACACAATGTCTCTGTATTGTAAGTACGCTGCTCATGGCGTCATTATCTGATTTCGTCATGGTACCTTGCACAACATCGATTGAGAGCCAGTTAACGACCGTTTTACCCGCTAACTGTGACTACGAACTCCAAATATGAACGACTCGATCATCATATTTTTCTTGGCCTTGATCGCCGCGCGGCTTAGGGAATGGGAACATTTGAAAAACGCTATTAAGGCGTCATGGACGCCTGGCCGACATTGAAATAGTCTCCGCGAAATAGTTTGCGCATCTTCACGGACGTGTAGCTCAGAAATTAGAGAGATTTCGGCATTAAAAAGGGCAGAACTGTAAACTGCACCGGATGATATTTAAGATGGCTATTTCGTCTCAAAACTCAACACAAGTGTGGAACACTTCCTCTAAGTCACATCCGGTGCCCCCGATTCTAGTTGATCCTGTCCGGTTAAGTCTGGTTTGGTCTAGCCCCATCCGGTCCCGACTGGTTCCGACCGGTCCCGCTCGGTTCGGTCAGGCTCCTTCAGGTCCGGTTCCGTCAGGCCCAGTTCCGTCCCATCCGGTTCCGTTCGGTCATATCCGGTCCCTTCCGGTCCCATCTGCCCCGATAAGGTCTCTTTCGATTTCATCCGGCTCCGTCTGACCTTATCCGGCCCGGCCCCGTCTGGTTTGATCTGATTCCCTCCAGCCCCGTCTGGTTTGATCGGATTCCCTCCGGTCCCGTCTCGCCTCACAACATTCCATCCAGTTTCGTCCAGGTCCGGTTTCGTCCGCTTCCGTGCGGTCCCGCTCGGTCCTCCTCGGCTCCTTTCATCACGGTAGGTGCCGTCCGACCCTGTCTAGTCCGGTTAAATCCCCTCCGGTTCCGCCCGGTCCTGCTTGTCAAGTTCCGTCCCGCCTTAATCCGTCCGGTCACGCGCGCTGCTGGTTCGGTGCGGCCCCATCTCGCCTCGTCTTTGGCCTGTAATGTGACTTTGAAGATCGACATGGTTCGCGTGCTTAGACGAGCACAAGCTGGAATTCATGCGTGTCTCTCCGATGACACACTCTGTATCAGCATCAGCCCACACAGTCCCATACAGAGACAGCGCGTCTCTACCCCGTCATTTCACCTCGAAAATTTGCGTTTTGAGCTTTTTAACCGCCACAATCGACCTCGAAGGCTGACGTAGCCATGGCCCGCACTAGAATTGGCAGCGGGCTTGATAATGACGCCTGATTTGCTCAGATCGATGCGAAACAGCGTCAGTGCGGCGTTGCTCAGTCATATGACCTTAAATGCGACTTTGGGGAGTGGCATGGATCGTCCTGGCCTGGGTGATGCGTCTATGAAATACTGAAAATCAACGTTTTTAGCCGGCACACATGCTACTTAGCGTAGTCTGTTTAGATACAGGCCGTGCATCACACTGCGGCAATGCATCATGCAGGGCAGGAATCTTGCCATGAACTGACACTAGAGAAAGGGCAGGGCCGGATGGTCGGTAGCCGCATAGCCGAGCCCAGCGGTCAGAGAGGTCAAACCGACGTCGAGGGAGCCGGGCCATTAAACTGCGAGACCGAGCGGCTAAAAACATTTGACGGTCGCTGGGGAGGACGCAGGCCCCAGGGCTGGCAGGTTGGTTTATACTTATCCACTCTTTTGCTCATGATGCCAACGATGTTATGACGTGTTCGCATTTCTAACAAAAGACGGACGGGTGAATGGAACACTCACTTCACACTGTCGGTTAACATGAAAGGACCTAACTAACATCTAAGGGCATTTTGTCGAACCACCTTTTTTACAGACAACCTTAAGCTGCTTGACAGAAGATCTACCGCGGCGAACAGTGGAACGCTTATCACTGTGTTGCATTCGGCTATCTCGCAACAATAATGCACGTACTGCAGAACCCACTGGCACAAGCGGTAAGCTAGCCGAAACAGTGCTGCAAGTCCGGTGCAGGTTTTTATTGAGACACTTCACAGGTTCAGTTTGTTTGCTTAGTGCACCAGTTAGTGACCAGCACACGCCCACGTCTACCGCCAACTACGCAGGGTGACACACACCACTGGACCAACGCACGAGTCTAAACAGCGCGAAACCATTGAACCCACCGTGGCAACAAAATAGCACGCTACCTTCGTAAACGTTTAAAGCTGACAGAGCAACACTGCTGCAATTACCGGTGGGCCCGGGTAACCACGATATCAATAAAGACCCGTAATAAGCATGTGACATCAAGCCATACTTCTACCGTGCAGTTAATCCCAGTCATTGTTTGTTTGACTGCACACAACCTTTGCGCACTAAAAAAAATAAATAAAAACAGCATCAAAAGAACTGGCCATGGACTGTCACTTCATGAGCCATACGTCCCTGATCGGGGTGTCAGCATGCAGACGACACGGCACAACACAAAATCACACCGCCTTTTGGGGATCGCTATGTCGGCTCTGGAGATCCGCCTTCCTCTGGACACAGCTGAACCCGATGACAATCTCAGATCGCGACTAGCAATGTTCCCATGTGACGTCACTGGTGCAACACGCAGCGGCCGGAAGCCGTTCTCGGGCCGCCCGGGGCACGGGCCGCAGCCGAAACAATACACACCGTGCCCTACAACGGCACCAACGCAGCCCGAAGCACTCAACGTCGGGGTTAAGCCGCTCGTTGCAACGCCCGATAATCGGGAGTTAATCGCTGGTGCTTTGGCTCAACTGTGCCAATTCGAAACGCCAACCACCACAAAACCTGTTACGATTTTTTAAAACGTTCCCGCCAAAATCGAACGGCAGATACCGATTACCTCAATGGAACACGATGCGATATTTTCCCTTCATCTGGACAGACAGACATCTTCATCAATGCATCATCTAAGGTCGAAATAAGGCTGTATCATTAGCCATGAGTCTGCGCCTTGATCTGAACAATCCAGCCCATTGCCGTGGCTGGGCTGTTGGGAAGGACACAGGCACAACCAATGATATATTTTGTCCAGGTCAAACCAAACACTGCAGTACTTTTCTTAATCTTTTTTCTTTATGCGGGAGAAAATCTTTGTCTGCTGTGAGATTTTCGCCAGGCGTTTTCGACCAACACACCTAGGCCCTGTCGGGGATGAACATACATACGGACGCATGTAAACTTAGGTAGCAGACCTTCCAGTAAGCATTTCTTGTCGGACACAACACCGCAACACGAGGCCGTTACTTCTTTTTCGCTTCGCTCAATATCCCGCAATGTCTCGTATCAAGCTTTTCGTCTCATGATCAAGCTCGAAAAGAGCTTATCTAAACCTGGCCATTCCTTTCCGACATTAAAAACAAAATATATACGCCATCGTCACGGCGAAAGTTAAGTTGGGACATCGTACAGTCATGACATATATATTGCAATTGATTCATGACTGTAGTTCAAAGTTCACAGCCGCTTAGGCGTTCAAACGTTCGTTTCTTGATATATACCCAATACACAACGTGTTATCATTATACATGCGTATACACGCAACTTCTGTTACAAGCGTATTCAGCATGTGCACCATTTGTCGGATATGATTCAGTCGATCCAGGGGCTCAACCATGTATCAACTCTCGTGAACTTTAAATTAAAAAATGCGGAACGTGAGGTAAACGGTGATTTGACCCTCTGTATCGCGAATATGTCGCACAGCAAATGTATTTACATCTGAGCGAATGTGGACTTCCATCTATCATCGTAAATAAAATGCAGCACGTCATATTTGGACATCATAATTTTACTTCGACCTTCACGTCATATGTCAGACGGAACTTCGGAGCATGATGACCAATTTAAGACGAGTTCTTTTAGAGCTTGATCACGATACGAGAAGTTTGGTGCAAGACAATGAGCGAAAAAAAGAAGATGACGGCCGCATGTTACGCCGCCTTATTCAGCCACACGCATGTATGTACCCCGCTTTTGTGACGTACGCATGTAACTTTTCAAATTACGTACAGCCGAGTAAAAATTGTAACCCCGCAAACCAACATAAAGGGCCATTGATGCCAATATTAGTTACGTTAGTTGCAGAGTGCATTCGCGAGAAATTTTATGCATAAAGCGCTATGTATTACCACTGTAGTCGGGACGGTATTGTTAGTCATATTGCTCGCTAAATAAACAAGAGAAAGGGGAAAAGACGAACCGATATTTCAGCCACATGCCTTTATCGAAACGCATGTGAATGCAAACTTCAAAATTCAAGTGGGATCGGCAGGAAATTTTAAATTTTGGATTAACTGCTCACATCCGTTTTCATGAACCATGTAGCCGAGATATCAATGCATCTATATCTCCTTTCTCCTAGTCATTCTACAAGGATTAAGGCTAACGGCACCGTCTTAACATTAGTAGCTACATGGAGCACAATCACCAAAGAGCATGGATGGGCTGCAGTGGACAGCCAGGAATGAACGGGCGGCCAGAAGAGGGAACTGGTGCTAACGTACCAGTGAGGATCATCCACACTTGGACATCCCGGCAGCACACATCCAGTGGTGCACGCAAGGCATTGCGGATGGCGGCCATCCGTTGATAACCGAGATCAGCGCAGTAGACGGCTATTGGCTAAGATCCGCGCCGTGGGCGCCTATTGGCTGAGATCGGCGCAATGAACGGCAAGTGGCCGAGATCAACGCAGTGGACGGCTATTGGCTGAGATCAGCACAGTTGACGGCTATTAACTGGGAACAACGCAGTGGACAGCTATTGACTAAGATCGGCACCGTGGGCGGCTATTGGCTAAGATCAGCGCAGTGCACAGCTATTGGCTGAGATCAGCGCAGTGGACGGCTATTGGCTGAGATCGGCGCAATGGACGGCTATTGACTAAGATCAGCACCGTGGGCGGCCATTGGCTAAGATCAGCAAAGTGGACGGCTAGTCACTGAGATCAGCGCAGTGGATGGCTATTGTCTGAGATCAGCGCAGTGAACGGCTATTGGCTGACATCAGCGCAGTGGACAGCTAATGGCTGAGATCAGCGCAGTGGACAGCTATTGGTTGAGATCAGCGCAATGGACGGCTATTGACTAAGATCAGCACTGTGGGCGGCCATTGGCTAAGATCAGCAAAGTGGACGGCTAGTGACTGAGATCAGCGCAGTGGATGGCTTTTGTCTAAGATCAGCACAGTGGATGGCTATTGGCTGAGATCAGCGCAGCGGACAGCTATTGGCTGAGATCAGCCAAAGTGGAGGGCTAGTGACTGAGATCAGCGCAGTGGATGGCTATTGGCTGAGACCAGCGAAATGGACGACTTCTGGCTGAGATCAGCGCAATGGAAGGCTGTTGGCTGAGATCAGCGCAGTGGACGACTATTAGTCGAGATCCGCGCAGCAGCCGGTGGGCGGCGGGCCGCGGTAGGCCGGGCCGGGCTGGTTACGGGTGGGCCGGCAGTGCTGCCGCTCCGCTGGCACTCCCGGTCGCGCCGTCGTCAGCCTCCTTCGCCGCGCCGGGGTGAGACTCCTGCCCACACGTCAGGACATCAGTCACACCGGTGGCCAGTTGGCAAGGCACAGACAGATATGCAAGAGTGCAGTTTTCCTGTCTGTAAGCTCTTGGTATGCGCAATACAAAACAGCAGATGCAAGCCATACAGTGTCATCGTCTGACAACTAAGCACTATTGGCTCATCTGCCGAGGAATTCAAGTGGAACACGTAGATCCAAGAGGTAGGTGATGCATGCAATATCATTGTCATCACATTCATACCATGTTGTCATATTCACCTCCACACTTACCTTTTATATAACTTTCTACAGCACTCGTTTGACAGAGCTTACTGTTTACTAGCTTACTACAGAGCTTAAAATAATTCTGCCCGTAAGCATGCCATCTATTTCCAAGCCTTTCAATCACTGAAACAGGTAATGCTGGAAACTACTTGATTTCAGAAACTAAAACACAAGCCACGTATGGTGCGCGCAGATATTTGTAAAAGCACAGCATGCCATCTAGATGATAACACAGTATCCCTATTCTTGTCTTCACAAAGGCTTCAGATTATTGGTACTCCACCCACCCGTTGTTGGGAGGCCTGATGTTGGCGTTCGCCTTGGTCTTCGTTGGCCGACTCGTTCTGACGACGAAGCGGCCGCTGCTCGGCATTACCCCCGTCACGAGCCTCATCACCCCTGCCCCCTTCCCGCTGCTGCTCCGAAGCTCCTCCGCCCATGGCCCCACGCTCGCTGTGAGCTTCGCTGTCCGACTCTCCGCTGCGAGGAGGCTGGTGGGGCCGGGGCTCCTGCTGCTTATCCGGAGCAGCCTCGACCTCAGTCGCCTGCCGCTGCGGCGCCACCCCATCCTCAGCCTCCTGCTGCTGCTGTTCGACACTGGAGGATCCTTGCTCCTCGTGATCAGCTCCTCCGTCTGCCGCCGCCTGTCGCTCTTCTCCAACATCTGGGAGGTCCTGCTGCTCCTGTGCGGCCGCTCCATCTGCCGCCACCTGCCGTTCCTCACCGCTATCTGGGGCGTCCTGTCGCTCCTGGACGGCTGCTCCGTCTGCCGCCGCCCGTCGCTGTTCCCTGCCATCTGGGGCGTCCTGTCGCTCCTGGACGGCTGCCCCGTCTGCCGTCGCCCGTCGGTCCTCACCGCCATCTGGGGCGTCCTGTCGCTCCTGGGCGGCTGCCCCGTCTGCCGTCGCCCGTCGGTCCTCACCGCCATCTGGGGCGTCCTGTCGCTCCTGGGCGGCTGCTCCGTCTGCCGCCGCCTGGTGGTCCGCCGCGGCAGCGCCGGCCGGGACCTGGCCGTTCCCCCTGCGGCGCGCGGCGCGCTCGGCGTTGCGGCGCCGCTCACGCTCGGCCCAGTCCCACTCGGCCGTCCACTCGTTCTCGCGCCGCTCCACCACCTGCCGGACGAGCGGCGCCCGTCAGAGCGCACACCAACGGCCCAGAACCCTGACACCCACGGAGGACTGTGGGAAGACGGAAACTGCCTTCCAGGAAGTGCCACTACCTGCCAGGATACGCGACGCCGGTCTTAGTCTCAGAGGTCCGGGACCGCCCAAGCCATGGGAGGTAGTCTGTCGTGCAATCTTTCTGCTGTGCTGCCCAGTTCACAAGTAAGGCACTATTTTTTCCCCGCCGACCCCTTACGAGCTCTCTCTCCACCAAGTCTGGCAATACCTTACACTTTTTATATGGTCCTCAGACATGAGGCAGCAACGGTTCCTTTTCATTTCACTCGGCCATACAAATTATACCAAATGAATACTGGGCTTAGTAATCTGCTCCTGTTGCGCCACGCTGGAGTCTCCTCGCTACCTCACCTTAACCTCCGTCTCCTTGATCTCCACCTCCTTGCCGGGGTCCTGCATGGGGAAGGCTGGCACGACTGGCGGCCTCGGCAGCGGCTCGGCCGGCGTGCCCTCGGCCGGTCGGGCCGCGGAAGCCGGCGGCGCCTCCTCGGACCGGTGGCGCCGCCGCGTGTCTGCGGCAGTGGCGCGCTGTCGGCCACGGGGCGACCAACGCCGACGCACGCGGCCGGCGCGGCGCCGCGGACGCGAACCCAACACCAGCTCGGCGAAGCGGATGGAGCCCATCCCCGCGTGTTTGTGCGTGCACAGGAAAATCCCGCACCTCCTCTTGATTTACACCGCATGTTGCAATCACATATAGTCGCTGCCACAAGTTTGCTATTCGTATTGCAATGTTACTGCGAAGGCATGACTTCAAAATGGTCCTTATGGAAAGCTGGCACTCTATATGCTGTACTATAATCGTCGTAATCATCGTATTCATAACACAGTGCTATTCACAGCTCAGCATCAGTGGGCACTTAGGCGAAGTTCTCATCGCACAAATGCCGATGTCATCGCTGTTCTTCAGTGGTTGGGGACTGAAAGCTCTTAACGGGCACCACAATTGTCCCCATTCAGGAAACCATCTACTTTGTTTCCCTTTTGATGCGGCACATTTCTCCTATTGGCAGCAGGCAGACGCCACCGAGAAACGAGAAGAATAGTCATAAGACAACGTGACCTCGGAGTCCAGTTCCTTTTAGGTCAACCTTGGCCACGGTACAGTCCGATGCCGTTCACAACTAATCTCTGCTAATAGTCGCACAACTGGTGCGTCTTAGGACTGAGCGATACTCCGCGTCACTCGCCCCCCCCCCCCCCCCGCTCTGACGGGTGTGAACTGACCGGTCTGGCCGGCGATGCAGCTGGAGTCGGAGCGTCGCCTCTGCGCTGGTCCGGTCAGCTGGCGGCGGTGCTCCGACTCACGCTGCCACACCTGCAGCATGAGGCGGCGCCGGGCGGCGCGACCGCCGTCCTCGTCCGGCGGCGCCTCCTGCTGGACGGAGACGACCGTCAGCGGCGGCCGGCGCACAGCTGGCGGCCCAGACACTGCAGCCTCGGCGGCATACGGGGAGTGACGTCACCTCACAGAGCGTGGCCCACGGCTGTTGTTTGGCCAGTCAGGAGCAGAAACAGAAATTGCTGACCGAAACCGCCTGACTGAAATTCACTAACGTTCCGCAATGATAATGGAACGTAAATCGTAAGCAATATAACTTGGTCTTCCAAATTTTGTTTTTGTCCTCCGAAACAGAGGTACGGCACTTGACAATTCCTGTCCCCGGCTGCCGACCGAGCCCCATGGAGCGGGGTGGACGCCCACCGTGTCCAGCGCCTGCTCCAACAGCATCTCCTCCGAGGTGGACAGCTTGAGCGAGGACCGTTGGGTGAGCGAGAGCAGTGACGACTGGCGGCTCAGGGTCGCCTTGAGCCGACGCCAGCGGCCGGCGCCGGCCGCCGGCGTCGCTCCGTTCTCTGTCCCCGGCCGGGCGCCGATCGCCTCCGCCCCCTCCGGTCGCGGGGGGCCGGGCTCAGCCGACAGCGATCCGCGCCTGGAGCAGAGCCGGGCGTCAAGGGTCGCGGCCGACACACCAGGCGCCAGCGGCGGTCACTGACAGCAGGCCGCGTGGAGGAGCTGCGTACTCCCGTCCAGTCAGCTCAGGGCAAAGTGGGCCTCGGCAGGAATCGATGCAGAAGACGCCGCTACCAGTCGGTGTCCAAACTCAACAGATAATGCACCACGGTCGGTTTACTTGATAAGCGATTACAAGGGTAGCCGCAGTCAGTCCCTGTCCGAGTCGCAATCACGAGAGAAATCGGTCATCAATTTGTTTTCATGCAGCTTGGAAACCTGAGATGCATGCGGACCCCCCCCCCCCCCCCCCCTCTCACCTCGCCCCATTCTCAGAATATGATTGATGCACTTGAACGCAGTGGACTCTGAGCTATCGTGGTTTCTCCATCCTTGTATGACTTAAAAACACAGGTATTCACACAATGATATTGAAAATGACTGAAAAAGTGACATTTACTTGGACGAATACATTTGAAGCAAAATACCAACGCCAAAGAAACAAGAGCTATTCGCCAGAAAGCGAAACATGCAGTAAAATCAGACACAAACTACAGGCTAAACACAGGAAACTTATTTTCAGCCGCACCGTCAAATTGTGTTACATAAGCATAACCCGGCTCCGAGGAGCAGGTTTTACCAGGGTTCGGGATCCTCCATGCCGGAGGCGATCTCCAGGTCAGTCGCCAGGGAACCACGGCCACGCCTATCCTGCAATGCTGAAACAACGCAGCAAACATCAGCTCACATGTAATGGTGACAAACCACCTAAACAAACGTCTAGGTATTTCATATGCTATGGCCTTCGACATTAGATCTGCAATGGCTTTTTCCAGTTCGCGGGGTGTTCGATAATATCTATTGGTGCTTACAATTGCAGTAAACGGCCGCAATATGATCGATTATATGTCCACATGTCAAAACATGATTTGATCCATCACCTCCGCCATACCATTCGTTTTGCCGGGATAACATTACATTGGACTAACATTTGGTGAAACCGCACCGAGCATTAATCTGTTTGAAGCGATGACTTGTTGCGGGCTGCAGAGAATTAGGCGAATGTGTGAAATGGCGATCGTCTGCGGTCACCGAAAGTTCACTGGTCATTGATAAACTTACGTGAACCTATCGAGGTAATGGACCGAGCGCTTGGAAATATTCTGTGGTGAGAGTGCCTAACCTTTTAGATCGTCGCCTGCCTCTGGAGCGGTTTCACTAACTGAGACTTTTGACTGTCCGTCAGCCAATGACCGGAATGTGTAGCTGTCCAGCCATTGGCCGGTAGCGTATAGCAGGTGATAGACGAGTCCTTCGTGGCGTCGCTGTAAGGAGGGAACAACTTGTTACAGACGAAGAGGAATCGCGGAATATTTCCAATTTAAGTGTGGTGAAATTTAAGTACTGACGTCAAAAATGTGTCGTTACCCCTCTGCATAGGAAAGTAAAATGTATTACACCAAATCCAGCCTCATGGTCCTGATAGAATTAATAGGTCTGGAGCAACAGTATATATATATATATATATATATATATATATATATATATATATATATATATATACATATATATATACATATATATATATATATATATATATACATATACATATATATGTATATATATACACATACATATATATACACACACACATATAAATATAAATATATACATATATATATATATATATATATATATATATATATATATATATATATATATTTACATATGCACATGCATATGTACACATTATATACATACAAATATATGCATATGCATATTTCAAACGCGGGCATTCTTCAGCAAACGCACAAAATGCAAGCAATGGATTCAGACAACAAACGTCGCGCAATACAACATTAAAAGAGCATCACGCAATGCTCCCGAGCCGCATTACATCTAACAGTGCATTTGTACATACCCGCAGGATGCATGTTTTATAAAAAGCGACCTTGTGTCGGCGATTTCCGTATGATGTGCCTCAGCAGAGTGGATGCCGAATGGAGTGTTTCTGGTCGTTTTTTATCTCGTGTGTGCTCGTTAAAGCGTTCCCGGACGCTACATTCTGTCTCGCCAATGTGGGTGTAAGGGGCGGGGGGGGGGGGGGGGGCGGTTGGCGATTGCATAGGTGGAAGGCAACGAGGAACACGACATTTTTTGCGCGACACTTTCCCAAGAACCGCGCGATGCACGAATGGCATGGCCATTTCCCGGCTGGGCAGAGTGGTGGGCCGAGCGCTGAGGCGGTCAGTTGTGCAGCTAATGCTTTAACTCTCTCCCAGGTAGCGCGTCGTGGCAAACCTGACGCTTTAATCGCTGAAGGCACCTTCCTTGATAGAGTATCGTCTGTGAACGGAAGGCTGATGTATGTGGCGCGTCTGTAGGATCGTGACTAATCGGAAGACTGCTGCAACATGCACGCCTCGACTTCTTGTGTTCCGATGACTTGGAGGGGACGCTCTTGATGCAGGCATACGAGCCGAGTATGGAACAGACCATCTGATAACATTAGAACTAACGTTAACAGAGCTACCACGAGATGGAGGGGGGGGGGTCTTTTCACGCTAAAAATATTTCTGTTGAAAGACGGTGCATATGTTGATTTACTTCAGAATGAAATCTGTCAAATGTCCAGCAGTACTCAGTTCCCTTACATGCTGAAGAGTTCTTAACTGATAACATGCTGAGTTCGTTATATCTGGTAAGCTGTTCGTTAAAGTTCTCATGAATATTACAGCAAGACTAATTTTGTGTGCGGTGTTCTAAAAAAAGTACTCGAGACGAACAAGAGAGAAAGCTAGCCAGACAAATAAATGGCGGCGTTGAATATCTGTTCGGCCAAAATGAAGATGTGATTTTGGCGACCAGTCTGGCTGAGTAAAGGACGTTACTGTGCAATAATGCAGGCAAATAAAGCTAAATGGTGTGCTGTTGCGGTCCAGCGACATGTGGCACGACTTCGGTGAAAAGCAAGTAAATACTTGGCATTAGAGGAGCGCCAGCACGCAAGGGAATTTATTTCGGGGATTGAGACGTCACAGGATATTATAACAGTCCGACAAAATATCACCTCTCAGCTGAACAAACAATTCAAAAACCGATCGAAAAAAATTCGATAAAACGGACACCCACAAGGTATATCTAAGAGATGTGAAACTAAGACACTGTCGAAGACCAGCGAGTACATTCGTATGGGGTTTTGAACTAAAATAGCCATCTTGAAGGCCTTTCGGTGCAGTTAACAGCCCCGCCCTTCCTAAGACCGAACCCCCTCCAGTTAAGGAGCAGCACGCCCGCGAACATGCAGAGCATTTCGGAGAGATTATTTCAAAGTTACCTTGCCACTCATGACGCCATGATGACGTCATTCAAATCTACCAGTCCATTAGCCATGCGGCGATCAAGATCGAGAAAAACACAATGGTCGATTAGTTCCTATCTGACGGGCGTGAGCACGATTTCAAGACGTAACGGCCATCAATTGACTCTCAGTCGATGCTACGCAAGACACAATGACGACTGAGGAGCATATTTAGTAAGCAGAGGAATTGTGTTCTCTAGAGCAGTCGTTTCCACTTCTCACATCGACGACAGCTCCAGTGCTAGCCAGCATCCGCTGGAGGCTTGGAAGCGTTTCATGTCGCTGAAGAACTCAAAGCTCGTCAACCTGTTTGTCGTACAGCTCACGTCCACGCTGCAATGCAGTGTGCGGACACACGTCCGAGACGTTTGACCCTTTCTGGGACCTGAGCCTGCCGACTCCGTCCATGACGGCTCCTGTGCGCGTGCATAGCTGCTTTGGCATTTTTACTAAGGTGGCGATGCTTGATGGAGAAGAAAACCCACGTGCTCCATGTGCCAGAGGCGCCAAAAGTGCTCCAAAAACTTCCAGATGCAGAGGCTTCCACGCATCCTTGTAGTGCACCTGGGACGGTTATTACTGCAGCCAGAGCAGAACATGCATAAGCTCAACAGCACTGTGAACTTCCCCGCCTTCTGGACCTATCGTATCGGGAGACCGGGAGGTATCACTCTGCCGTATCGGGAGACTGAATTCACAAACTGTACGGCGTAACACAGCATTCTGGCGTGGCGCACCCGGGCCACCGCGCGGCACACTGTGCACCTCCCTGTTTGGGAGCCGGGCACGGGTGCGACCCCAGAGTCCAGCCCATCCGCATGTGCCGCGTCAACAACTGCGAAGCGTACATGCTACTTTTTGAGCTGGCCGGTCACTGACCTGGAGCTGACCTGAACGCCAGCACTCGAAGGAGTTTGAGAAGACTCCCCACGTAGCACTGCGGCCACTTCTGTACTTATAGGCATGACCACCCGAATGTGGAAAAAGGGAAAGCCGAATCTTCAGTTGCGTGGTGTGAAATGTAATCACATGTCATATGCAGTGTGTTGTGATGTATTCTGTGATCGTCTTCGCCGAAATGTACATTCTGTTTTTTATGAAACCAGGGTTCCTGGCGTCTTGAGTAAGGTGCTTCAATACTTAACATGCTTTTGCATTTTACAAAATATTACATAACGGTCTGAAAAAAATTATTAAGAGCGTTCTTGCCGGCCGGGATACCAGTCGAGTTCTTGTTACCTGTTTGTATCGGCTATAAAATGTTAGTCTTGTTATTGTTAATCTATTAACTGACAATAGAATGCTAATCTATTGGCTTTAGAAAGGCCACCTCCGAAAAAGGCGCTTCATATGGACTAGTTGTTAATGACGACACATTTTTTATGATGGCAAGCTTTGACCTTTTTAAGCATTTTAATTTCACCTTCTATGCCTGGAATAGACGCCAGAAGCTACCGCGAGATCAATTCTACCTGAATTTCGTAGTCGATAAACTTAAAAAATTGTGCTAAACGACCCCATGAAATAAACCACCGGGCTTTTCACTTAACAATGGTCCGAGGAGCTCTTTCGCGATCGATAGAGCTTGGTGGCTTTGTAACAATCTGTATCTGTGTTGTACAGAGATTTCCAGGACTCCACGAACGCAGGTTGTTAGTAGAAATTGATCTTCAATTTGTACCAACACGGCAAGGGCCTACTTGACTAAAGATGTTCAACACTCAGTCATACCAGATTAGTGATACAAATTATGTAACGTCGTTCTGAGCATGCGCTAGCAAATCCTAGCAACACGAGCCTTTGACGCCAGACATTGCGGTCTCCGTAGGCCGCGCGGCGTCGGCTACTCTGCTACCGCTATTCTGTGACCAACGGGTGGACGAAAATGATGACACATCTGAGACAGCACCTTTGAACGTGGGCATTAAATCTTATAGTTAGAAAGTATTCCGGACCTATATTTCACCAGTGCGATTTTCATACTGATAAAAATTAAATGCCTTTTACAGCACCGCGAAGTGATGCCGGAATCTGGTGATGGACTGGAAGAGGAAAGGACGTGTCTCTATTTTTCGTGCTGCTGTGAATGTTACTGCCCAGAGAACGGCCTCGAAGTTGTGAAAAAACACGCCCAGTCTTACCTTTGAACAGTAAAATTCGATTTTGAAAGACATTCTGAACCATTATTTTACGACAGTCGTTCTCATGCGCACGGCGCTCACCGCCTGGTGTTACTTGCAGTGGCCAATGCTGTTCGGCTTTACGGAAGCTGCAGCCCAGGCTATCGCTGTCCTTGCTCCCGAAACTGCGGGCGCGCAGGCTCACACCTTTCGATGTAATTTGTTTCACTAGTCGTTTCTGCTAGAAAATGAACGTTCTCAGGCGAAAATGGCATGATCTCGTTCATTTTTTTAAAAATCTCATTCCGACCCACCCTATTCAACATCGATGATACCCCCTATTTCTTTCCGGGGAAGGAGCCCCTTGAGAAGAACACTAGGGGGCGCATTATTGTTCCCGGTCAAGGGTAGAAGGGCAATTCCGTTCCATTGCGGGGTGTCTTCCGGCGGCCACTCTTCTGGCGACATGGGGCGGGGGTCCCCTGGCCGATCCGGAGGCCCTTAAAGGGATGCATCACATCACATTGGTACCCTCGCTGACGCGGGAGGCCTTCTGACCCGCACGGTTGACCCCGCATTGACGCAGGAGCCCTCATTGACGTACCAGTATCCCTGATCACCGCAGGTAGTCCAATAATCGACACATGGACTCCAGTTTGGCTTGACGAGTCCAAGCTGGAATTAGGTTGGGGGGGGGGGGGGGGGCGTTCGGGACTGGGGGCCCCGACCGGCACACGACCCCAGCATAGCCTCAATGCAAACACTCATCATAAGTTTTCATGTTTCCTTTCATTGTAAGAGAGCAGGGAGCCTCGATCAACGTCAGAGGCCCTCTGTCATTCGGGGTTCCGTCGTCATCCTTGTTGAGCAAATCTTCCCCTGACCGACTTGGTGACACGGAATACCCTGTCATACCCTGTGGGCCCTTGAACGACACACGAGCCCCGCATTGTTACAGGGGCTACGACCAATGTAAATCGCGGACCCGGAATCGCCCCTGTTTGGGAAATGGTGGTGATGCACGCTGGTGTGCCATAACTTTGGTCATGTTAGCGGAAATTCTATAGGTTGACAAGCGCTACAGAGCATCGTTTGTTTCCTTGCCATGACACGTTTTGCTCTTGAGAAAACGGGAGTAGGAGCCTACACACACACACACAAGGCTTCACCTTTGTTGCCTGGATTGACATGCCACAGATCATGCCGACCGAGGGGGTCCCGTGTATGGTTCAGTAAACCAAGGGCTGTGTGTTACTATCATGGCGTACATAATTCCCTACGTCTCCCAAAGTTTTGGCATATGCAATTATGCTGATCGACGATGCCTAGATCTACTTCACTGACCACAATGACCTCATTTGTCCTACGGAAGGCCAATTGCCCTGATATTTCATATGTTCAGTGAATGAAGTTGTCCAAATAAGTTTTTGTGTGAGAATGCTGGCTCCCGGTCAGACCCAGCATGACTGGCTTATGGCACATGACAGTGCACGAAGCGCGCTGCCGTCGCCAGTCTCACCTGGACAATTCGCAAATGGTCTGTATGTGTCGCCTGGCTTATGGCACATCACAGCGCACGCAGCACGCTGCCGTCGCCAGTCTCACCTGGACAGCTCGCAGGTGGTCTGTGTGCCGCCTGGCTTATGGCACATCATAGCGCACGAAGCGCGCTGCCGTTGCCAGTCTCACCTGGACAGCTCGCAGGTGGTCTGTGTGCGCCGCCATCATGGCAGCCCGGTCGCCCATGCGCTGGACGGCGCCCAGCAGGTTGGCGTTGCGGCGCTCTCGCCACAGCCGATCCTGGTCGGAGGGGGTCCAGGGCCGAGACGCCCACCATCGGCCGAAGCACTGGCTCGATCCGTCCTCCGAACACCTGCAAAATGCGTTCATCCATGCTGACGCGCTGCATGGGGCTACATGGCTCTTAAGTCATATCAGAGCTCCAAAGCCATGTGATGTTTGGCGTGAGCGCCAGGCCTGTGCTCACCTCCATACAGAATCGGTGACGGATACAGAATCAGCCGTTTTCCAACCACACAGCCAATCGCAACGCCACGTTACTGTCATGTCACAAGAATACATACAACTGTCGTGTCATGAAAAGAATACTGAACTGTTGGTGGCGGTGGCAGAAAGCGGCGAAGCTAATGAAATTCGTAGACTCGACACGATGTGCTTTCATGCAGTAAAACGTCTACGCCCAGCTCCGTGATATATACGACCTGTTTTGCGTCATTGACGAGGAAACAATGTGCTGTAGGTTTCAAGTATATTGACGGAGTACCAAGAGCAGATCCAGAGCGGGAGGCACGGGGTCATCCCCCCGTGGGCCCCGAAGGGTCCCATGGGCTCCAAAAGGACCCATAGCCGACCGAACAGACGTAGTTTTTTCTACACAAAACGTAACCACATTGGACGTCATTTGGCTTGACGACGACCAACAACAGTCGCAAGCGAAAGTGTGAAGCGAAGCAGGAAAGGAAACTAAGCAGAACTGAAGGACCCATGAGCAGACAAAAATTATTCTTCACTGATTGATAGGGTGATGACGGTTTCAAAGCCTCATTACGCTTTCTTGTCAGGCCCTACGCTGCTGTTGGGACGCCACCTGCTCATGCCTTGGCACTATTGATCGTTCAGGGACAAAAGGGAAAGGAAAGGGAAAGGGACAGTCTCTAGTCTCTAGACGTTTTTACCGGGACCCCAGATGACGGGGTTCACTCAATTGCTCACAAGCTCTTCAAATTAGCACCGGGCTCTCTCCAGTCGCTCGGACGGCCTCGTGCTGTTGCTGAAGCCCATATAACGTGAGGCGCCGAGCCACTCAGTCCCCAGGGGCCTCCTACATTGATCTAAAGCTCTTACCGTTCGATCTAGCTTGTGGGGGACCATTCACTCCTACCGGGGCCCTTTCTGGTAGCCCGCCCGGGCACTCTTGACGGCACAGAGGCATCAATTCATGCACATTGGTCTTCGATAATTCCCTTTTGCTAAGAGGAACCTGTGCTCCGGCCGGGGTCCTGTATGTCAGCCTTTCGGGGCACTCCCGATCGTTCAGGGGCCCACCACGTCTGTCTTGGGTGCTTCTCGTCGGCCCTGAGGACCCTCTACGTGTTGACGGAGGCCTCCTTGTTGGCCTGCCGCGGCATCCGTGAAAGCTCAGGTTCCGTTCCTTTTGGCCTTGGTGCCTTAGCCTTAGAGCAGCAGTCGGATATGCGCCGATGACTTTTTACGTGCAAGTGTCGAACATAATTTTACATGCCGCCGACGTCGTATGTGACATTTCCAGTAGTTACTGAATTTGTGACACCTTTATGCTGGTTCATCAGGTTCTCATGGCAGTTAAATGTTAGGACATTGCGTACTCCATCATAACATATAAAACAAAACCTCCGCATCATGATCACATCGACCAGCCGGCCATATGTCAAGAAGCTAGAGATCATTTTCGTGCTTTACTTTAAGTGCAATGAGCAGCTAACTTTAGCTAAATTTGTCATTTTTTAATGATCTGGAGAAAATGAATACGCTCCACAAATGTGCATACGTATAGCACGGCCAATTTTCTAGATCTGCACACTGTAAGAACGGTTTCTGTGAAAAACAAAACAGTCCACTCAGAATCTTAAAATTGAATGGCCGTTATGCAAGTACTATTTTTCGGGGCGGAGGGCTAGGCTCTAGGGGCCCACAATGTTGCGTGCTTCTCCCCCTTGACAAAATCCTGGATCCGCCCCTAAATAGAACGAAAACTGTCTAAATGCTAACTGAGGAATGTGACTCCAGCGACGCAAATACAATGTCAGTTCCACAAATTCAAAAACCGAGGGATAATAGGCATACTGTGCCACCGGCACGTGAAAATATCTTCAATTCGAAGGTAAAAAAAAAACATCGGGGAGCGCAGTTTCTGCTGCCTGGGATGATGCTATCATAAAAGGGAGACGCGACGCACGTCAACGCGCACCCTTTTGTGGCGCGCCGGGGGCAGCAGGAGCCGCATGAGCGATCAGGGGTTATGGCACAGCCGAGTTTCGAACACGGGCCCCGCGTGAGAGCCAAAGGCACTAGCCACTCGGCTATTTCGCCATCACGCCATGACGCCTCAGTGACTTGAATGGCCTGTCACTAACTAAAAATATGTGCGGGTTCCTTGTTCAGATTTCCATGCGTTAGCCGTTAAAGTGTAAATCAAAATTATCATTTCGGCGAATAGCTTGTTTTCGCAACGTTAAAGCATTAGCGCATCAAGTTTTTGTGTGCCCATAATCGGTTGCGCATGTGCGTATCGTCAAACTTTACTTTGCTCCCCCTTCAGTCCTGCCCTGAAAATTTGCATTTGTCCGATCACGAACATTTTCACTGCTGGTGCTGCTGAGTCACCCACATTTCTATCTGCTTAACGGTAGCGGATACGACTGAAGGCATCGTCCGATGTTAAGTGTGTATTGCTTCTGAACTTCATCCGAGTTCAAAATTTAAAACAAACGCGGGCCAACGGGGTGACGAACCGTTCCCATTGTCTGCGCTGACCTGAAATGCGGCCTGGGGCGCAGCAGGTCATGGGCAGAGAGGGGCATCGCGGGTAACACGGGCCCCTGCTGTTACAAAAGGCAGCAGGGAGCCTAATCCCGCCAAAATCACCGAAAATTGACCCACCGGACTTAGCTGCCAGACGAGGCCCTCAGAGGGACACAGGGCGTGGAGGACGGCGGCACGGCCCTGGGTTGACATTCGTCTGATCGCATACCTTCTCGGCGCACATTGTCAGCACGGACGTACGTTGCAATTACCTGCTTGTGGTCCCGTCTCAAAAAGACATAGTCTTCCCAGTGAGCGTATGGGCGCATAGTACAGAGTTCGGTTATCTCCATTGTTCGCTGCTGCACGTCTGTGTGCGGCAGCGCAAACCAGATCAACTTGAAACAGCTCCAGTCAATTCTAATTGTTTGCACGAGAGTAACGTCAGGCCGTCGGAAGTTTGACCCTATTTCCGACCTGATACGCCAAAACTCAGCCTTGAATGTGAGACGGCTCGCATGTTACCAAAACATGGCCGTTCTTCATAAGATCATCATAACGGGACAACCATCAGCATTAGCAAATACAATCAGCACAAACGTCGACACGACAGGAGGACGCGACCGCCAGTCACGCAACATCAGGCTACCTACGGCGCGTCAGAACAGCGGCAAACGGTAGTTTATTGATCGGGCTCCGGTCCACTACAGACTCCTGCCACACTGTGTGAGGGCTCATAACCACTCATGCTTTGCTGCCACAGTGAAGTCAAAATTTTTACATGCCATTGGGTCGTGCACACGCATTTATAATTGATGTAAGATGTGCGTGCCTTTTGTTAAATGAATCAGCGCTTCTGTACCCAGGGACGCTTAAGGCATGACGTAGCACAGTTATAGCCAAATGTGTATTTTATCTGTTAATAGAATGCATGATACATTGGAATGTGCTACGGCGTGAATACAAACATACATACACAGCAAACACCGGTCCCATCCCTGGTGCGGCAAGCCCTCTACCCTGGGCATCTGACACAGGATCGACACAGGACCCGTCTCTGGCGCAAAAGGAGCCCTTACCGGCGCAGAGGGTTCAGTCACTGGCAACGAGACACCAATGCGGCATATCGGCCTTGGTTGAAACGGTGTGGAGGAACCTTCATTGGAAGCTCTGACTGGTACAGGCCACTGTCTTATTGTGAGTGAGAACACTTGCATTGTCCTTTCTCATGTCTCCTTGCAATGTCAAGAGGGGCCGGAAACACGTAAGAGGCCTTTTGACAGGGGTTCCGCTCCGGTCCCTATTAAGCCAGTGTGTCCCTGGCCGACTTGGGGCTCACTGCCAATGCAGAATACAGACAACAATACTTCGGAGACATTGTAGTTTGTGAACCTCTGGTAAGCACAGGGACCCTTCACTGTTTTGGGGGTCTGACCAATGCTAGAGGTTTTTGGTTTACATTTGCAGGCCCCGGCCCTGTCCCTTCTTGAGGAAGGGACCCCAGGATCCAGACCGGCCAAGGACAGACTATTTAGCATCGGTGGTCTCCGCCAACTAACTGACATAGCAACTCTCAGATTCAGGGACCCCCAATCAGTATAAGAGGTCCTTCGACTGCCTTTAGAGGGGTAAGCTTTCTCTCAGGTCCATCCGTACGTCCCTCGGCCAGCCCTTCGGACTTTCCGATTGGATTATATTTCGGACCCTTGATTGTCAGCCTCTCGGGGCCCAAAGAGCCCCTCGGTATCTAAGGACCTCAGCCCGGTTACGTGTCCCTGTGTCACCGATGGTGGCTCCCTTAAATTATTGTCAGAGTCAAAGTAGATGTCAAAGGAATTGTGTGCCCCGGGAATTTGACGCGACTTGAGATGAAATTGTGAAGCCCTTTTGCAGTGCTTTCCTGGAATTGGGCACCAATAAAAAAGACAGGCCACGATGCCCCATGTGACGCCTTTCGACGCCTTCGCGGAAGAGGGCGACCAAGGAATTTGACAGGGCGGAAAGCACAAAAATTGTGCTGTCCCTGATTTCAGCGGCCCTTAGAAACCAAAATGCTGGGGTTTTAAAGGACTCATTTGGGCTTGACACCTCTAAAAAATAGAGGTTACAGTACCCAAAATTGATAAGTTTTAGGGATGACTAGCCATGTGGGCAAACCTCAACACCTGACTCTGGATTTTGTTCATGGGGAGGTACAAGCATTATGGTGCACCCTGGAATTTGGTGTCTACAAAATGAATGTTTTGAGGCCCTTTACTGCACCCCTGAAATTAGGCATCTCTGGAAAATAACTATGACATCCTGAGATGCGGGTTTGTGGTGCCACTTTGCCAAACAGTGAAGAAGTTGATCTGGAATTTTGTCAGGCTCAAAGATGCAGAAATTCCTCTTGAAAACATAAACCATGGTCCCCTGAAATTAAGGTCTGGGAACCCCTTCAGCATGATATTTTTGTACCTCCAACAATCATTTTATATAATCCAGGAGCAATGTCACCACACCATTGCATAAAATATATTTCCTAGCCTCAGAGGCTAGTACTTCTGGAACAAGACCAAGAGCTCCTTAAAATATCTGCCTTCCCCAGACTCCTAGGGGGCAGGCAGCATCATTTGTGGGCATATATAGTGTCAGTCATGTACATAATATTGTCTTTGAACTAAAGCAAGATGAAAAATTGCTGCATCACATTTTTCAAACAGATACTAACACCCACCTGCCATCCTGTGCTCATCCTCAAGAGATAAACTCTTAGGATGTGCACGGGTTGAAATATTGAGGACTGTCAAAATAACTATTGTTAAGCACCACAACACTGCTCAGTCAGTACTATACCTCCTAGTTTACTGAAGGCTGTTTTTGCAAAATAAGAATATTGAACTCATGATACTAAAAGACCAGGACCTAAAAACCTTTCTCTTCTATTGAGTTTAAGTCACATCCACAGAATAAAGTAGGAAAAATTTCCCAAGAAATGTGTCTGGGGAATAAGATGGGTTTGGTTCATGGGCTCACGCCACCTCCTCCGCCCCCCCCCCCCCCCCCCCCCCGCCCACCAATAAAGATGCAATGCTCTAACCCATATCCACAGTGATTACCCACTTGTGTATGCCTGCTAGTATTGGCTGCACAATAATTATTAATAACATCGTCAACAGATCATCAAACAGCAAGACAACCTAAGAACATTTTATTGCATGTTGAAGGAGATCATCTCTGAAGCACAGCCTAGATTAGACTTACCATTGTCCAGAGACAGACATTTGCTCGATGGAGCTGATAATTCGTTCGACACCAATGTAACACGACTTGCAGACTCCACCTCGTTTCGAGCGAATAAGACGCTTTTGTAGGACGATTTTGATAATAGCTAACGCACGACCAAGGGAATAACCGAGGTCATCATCACTGGCACACTATCGTTCCAATCTGACAGCCATTTATCTTGGTATGTAAACAAGACTAATTATTTCGGCATCTGATGTATCCGGCGCGCAGTTTTTGCCTACTAGTGAAGTGGAAAAAATGTGTTGATTGCCTTAAATCACAAGTGGGAAGCTAAGGGCCGGGTAGAGCATGAGGTCCACCAGAGAAATTAGAAAAGACGTACATAATAGGCTTCAACGCAGTTTTCGAGTGCATAGCATTACTGTAATTGTCACGGCAAACAATGTTTCATGACATAGCCAAGGGCGGCGCCAGCGTTCTGGAGCGGGGGGAGGTGGGCTCGTTTCTGTCCATCATCGGATGGGGGACTCCCCTCCTATTCTAAGAACGCTCTTGAAGAAGGAGAGTACGTAGTAGAACGTAAAGTAGAACGTAGTAGAACATAAAGTAGTAGTAGTACGTAAAGAAAGTACGTTTTCACGTATATTTTCACTAAGGAGCCTATATGCCCAGTTTTTACCACGATAAAGTTACCTCACATCGATAGAATCATACATACGCGTATGAACGTTTAAAAAGTGGGAAGCGAGGCTCAAGGTTAATTTTTTCTGGGACAAGCTCAAGCTCAGTGACCGGGGTGGGGTTGGGGGTTACAGAAAGAGGCTATTGTTTGCTTGTAACGCGCGCTCGAGGAGGGGGGGGGGGGCAAATATTTGGCCTCCCGCGAAGGTTTTTCCGGAATGATTTCTGAACGGCGCGGCGAGGACATGCCAAATGTTGCATAGCTGTAGGCAAATGTACAGCGGGTCATTTTGTACAAAGATTGTAGATGCATCGTGAAAGGTCGCTGACTTACGGCGGGTCAAAATCAGATCATGAATTCAGCAAGGTCGATTTCCAGAGAATCGCTCAATCCAAGGACGAATCCAGAGGGGGGTCAAGGGCCCATGCCTCCCCCCCCCTGGGCACCGAGGGGGTCCATTGGCTCCGAGAGGGCCTATAGACGGTCGAACAGGTGTAGTTTTTTTAACACAAAACGCAACAAAACTAGGTATCTCGGGATCTCCAGGCCACTAAGAACAGTTATGGGCGAAAGTGAAGGGCCTATGAAAAGTCAAAAATTATTCGATAATTGGAAGAGTTATGAACTGGAAATTTTAAGCCCCAATATGCTGCCTATGGGCTAATGCTGTTTCCGGGGGACCTATATGGCCACTTGCAGAAAGACCGTTCGTTAAAGATCGTTAAAAAACATTCCGCGTTGCCCTTCATTTCTTTGCATTTGCTCGGATCGCCCTGCGCTGTCGTGGGCCCTTCCTGTAAGCGTGCCGGGGCACTCTTGACAATCACGGTCCCCTTCACGGGTTCTTTCCATTCGCCAGAAAGCCTCTGTGAGGTATAGCCGTGGTTCCATATCTTAGCCTAGCGGGAGAATTCTCGGTGCTCAAGGGGGCCCTTTGCGTGGGTCTTGTTAAACCTACTGACACATTTGAGATATGCTCATGGGCACCTCCCCCACAAACCCCACATTTGGTCTAGGACGTTTCCCAATTCTCTGTCACCTACTTAGGGGCCCTTCACACACTTCGTCTGGGGCCCATCTGCTAGCCTGCTTGAACACGCTCAGTCGTTCGGGACCCTCAATAACTGAATCCTGGGTACTTATTTTCTGACTGGGGGGGGGGGGGGGGGGGCTAGGCTGTGGGGGGACGCTCTGTGGGCGGTGTATCTGATACCTGCTCGGGCACATTCGATCGCTCGGGGGCCGTCTACATTGGGTCTTGGGCACGTACTACTTGAATGGGGCCCTACGCACTTGTCGGAGGCCCCCTCTGTTCGCCTTCTCGGCCATACTGGATTGCTCGGAGGTCCCTGCACATTGGTTCTTGGTGTTTGCATTTAAGGCCCTCTGCTTCTATCGGGGTCATTTCATAACCTGTTCGGGTACACTCCATCTCTCGGGGTATCCCGCACCGGGTTTTGAGGACTTCGTATTTTAATGGAGGGCCTTATGCTCCTGTCGGGGCCCCTTCTGATAAGGTGTTTGGGTCCGTTCGATCGTAGGAGACCCGTGCATCTGGTTTTGGGTACTTCCTTTTTTAATTGAGTGTCCTCCCCTCTTTTCGGGGCCCTGTCTGTTAACCTGCTCCGGTGCACTCGATTATTTGGGGCCTTCTACATCGTGTAGTGGGTACTTCATATTTGAACAGAAGGCCCTGCGCCCTTGCCGGGACCCCATCTATTAACCTGCTCGGACACACTCGAAAATCTGGGGGCCCTCCACATTGTCTCTTGGGTACTTCCTATCTGAACGAAGGGCCCCACGCACTTATCGGGAAACCCATCTGTTTGCCGTTTCGACCATTCTGGATTGTTCGGGGAGCCCTATGTATTGGGTCTTGGCGTTTTAATTTAGGTCCTTACACTCCTGTCTGGGCCACCTAATAATCTGCTCGAGTATACTTCATCTTTTGGGGGCCTTCCGCACTGGGTTTTAGGTACTTCTTACTTGAATGGAGGGCCCTACGCTCTTGTTGGGGGCCCTATTTGTTAACCTGCTCGGGCACACTCGATCATTCGCGGGCCCTCTACATTGGGTCTTGGGTACTTCCTATTTGAATGGAGGGTCCTATGCTCTTGACGGAGCCCTGTGTTAATCTGTTCTGACACACTGGATGATTCGGGGTTCCTCCGCATTGGGTCTTGAATACTTCCTATTTGAATGGAGGGCCCTACACTCTTGACGGGGGCCCTATATGTTAATCTGCTCGGGCGCGCTCGATCGCTTAGAGCCCTACACATTGCGTCTTGAGTATTTTTTATAAGAATTGATGGCCCTATGTTCTTAGCGGGCCCCATCTATTCAGCTGCCCGGACCGGTGGCGGATGCGGAGGGTCGTGAGGGGGAGGCACAAGATCATGCCCCATGGACCACGTCGGGGGGACCCAAAGGCTCCGAAAGGGCGCGTAACCGGCCAGACGGACGCAGTTTTCTTACAACAAAAACACAACAAAACTGGGCGCCTTTGGGCCTACAGACAAACAAGAACCATTGCCAGCAAAAGTAAAGGGATCATAAGCAAACGAAGTTCTTTCTTTGCTTATTGCGAAAGTGTTGCTTGAGGGAGATTTTGGGGCTCACTACGCTGTCTAGAGGCATTACGATGTTGGTTGCTTGGTTTTGTACGTCCACTTGCCGGGTCAGTCTGATCGCTAAGGAGCTTTCCGCGTTGCCCTTGATCTCCTTGTTTTTTTCTCGTAGGGCCCAATGTGCTGTTGGAATGCTATCTGCCTCCATGCCTGAAAACTGTCAATCGGTCAGGTTTTCCTCCACGGATTCGTCCCACTCGCCCGAAAGGCTCAACGCACTTTTTCCGAGGCCCCATATGTCGGCACACTCAGCTGCTCAGGGGCTCTCCATGTAAGTATCGGGTCCTTTCCACTTGCTTGGAGAGCCTTGTGCTGGGGCTGGGGCTCTTCTATAGGATAAGGCACGGAGACACTCGATGCTCAGGGGCCCTCTACTTTGATCGAGGGCTCCCCCTCCCCCTTTGGTCTCATTTGCGGAGGACTCTTCACTCATATCGAGGCTCGTGTTGCTAACCTGCCCGTGCACTCAGATCGCACAGGGGTATTAATTCACGGTATTTGATAATCCCCCTTTGCTCGGAGGGTCCTGTGCTATGGTCGGGGCCTTACATGTCAGCCTGCCGAGGCACTACCGTTCGTTTAGGGGCCCACCACATTGGTCTTGTGCTCTTTTTTGCTTGCTCTGAGGACCCTATGCCTGTTGACGGGAGCCACTTTGTTGGCCTCCTGCAGCACCCATGATCGCAAAAGTTATGTTGCTATTGATCTTGGTGCCTTCGCCTTAGAGCATCAGTCGAATATATGCCGATGAATTTTTACGCGCAATTGCCGAACGTAATTTGACATGCCGCCGACGTCGTCTGTCATTTTCATGGGCTATTGAGCGTGTAGCACTTATTATACTAGAGCATCACGTTCTTTACATGTTCTGAATACTACAATACATCGTACCTGTTTAAAGCAAAGGAAAAATTCTGCATTAGCCATCAGCTATCAGCTGATTACATCGCTCAGTCGTTTAGTCGTAAATACACAAGCTCAGAATTAAGCCCATACTTGGTTTTCATGGTTGTTATCAGTCAGCTCAAGTTTATTTTACCTGTTACTCCGAAACACTTAACCTAAAAATCACAGCATTTAACATGATCTGTAGCAAATGAGTGAGCTCTATTTGTATGCATGCGTAGAACGCCTAGCTTTATGTGGCTGTGCATAGTAAGGTGGGTTTCCGTATTTATTAAATAAACGAATAAGTAAATGCATATGTATACATACATATATATATATATATATATATATATATATATATATATATATATATATATAGGGGGTCCCACATTGTTGCGTGCTCCCCGCCTTGACG